TGGAATGAAGGATGTAGGCGACAAGGCTAAGAGGAAATCAATATCTAGGGAATTGCATCAGGATTTTCGGGCTCTGCCCTTTGTCAATGAAGGACTGGAAATAGAATGTAATAGCAGCAGATGTCTGCCTCACACTGTGGGCCACAGTCAGACTGGGTGTAAGCAGATACAACTTCAAACTTCAGCAGAATTTCAATCAGAAAGGGGGCCAGATCCTCTGCCAGAGTAAACTGGTGTAGAACCATTAACTTCAATGGACCTAATCCAATTTACATCAGCTAAGCTGGCCCATTGTGTACAGGAAATAATATATCCGATAACACCCACCTAGCCCTGACTGCTGGATTATGGGAGGTAACTTGCTGTGCCCATTACATCATGCTCTGGGGTTGGCTGTAACTCTAATGAAATGAAGGAGATCAAGAGAGAGAGCGAGGCGGGGCAAGAGAGGAAAAGTTCTAGGTACAAATGCAATCGTACGACATACAACTCTCTCTAAAACTACTTATCAGGACAAAATACATTAATATCTCTTTTACATTTAATGGTCAAATTTGCACCTACTGAAATAAGTGGAAAAGCTCTTATTGACTTCAGTGCTTGCAGGATTGATTTCTAAACCCCTTAAGCAGGGGTCTTCCTATAGGTCTGTACGGTGCCAGATCCACCTTTGCCACTATATTAGTTAAACACTAAACAGTGATCATAAAATGCTCTCAGGGATGAGCATCCACTGACTGCAGCAGGGATGAATGCAGAACAGGCTCTGAACCACATCACATCCTTTCATAGACTGTGGTGGATTAAGACAAAATGAACAGATACTTGAGATCCAAGCCCCTGTTTGGAGAAGCCCCAACTCAAGAGCGAAGCCAGAACATAAGAATGGCCATACTGAGTCAGACCAAAGGTCCATCTAGCCCGGTATCCTGTCTACCGATAGTGGCCAATGCCAGGTGTCCCAGAGGGAGCAAACCTAACAGGTAATGATCAAGTGATTTCTCTCCTGCTATCCATCTCCACCCTCTGAGAAACAGAGGGTAGGGACACCATTCCTTACCCATCCTGGCTAATAGCCATTAATGGACTTAACCTCCATGAATTTATCTAGTTCTCTTTTAAACCCTGTTATAGTCCTAGCCTTCACAACCTCCTCAGGCAAGGAGTTCCACAGGTTGACTGGGCACTGTGTGAAGAACAACTTCCTTTTATTTGTTTTAAACTTGCTGCCCATTAATTTCATTTGGTGGCCCCTAGTTCTTATATTATGGGAACAAGTAAATAACTTTTCCTTATTCACTTTCTCCGCACCACTCATGATTTTATATACCTCTATCATATCCCCCCTTAGTCTCCTCTTTTCCAAGCTGAAAAGTCCTAGCCTCTTTAATCTCTCCTCATATGGGACCTGTTCCAAACCCCTAATCATTTTAGTTGCCCTTCTCTGAACCTTTTCTAATGCCAGTATATCTTTTTTTGAGATGAGGAGACCACATCTGTATGCAGTATTCAAGATGTGAGCATGGATTTATATAAGGGCAATAAGATATTCTGTGTCTTATTCTCTATCCCTTTTTTAATGATTCCTAACATCCTGTTTGCTTTTTTGACTGCCGCTGCACACCACGTGGACATCTTCAGAGAACTATCCACGATGACTCCAAGATCTCTTTCCTGATTAGTTGTAGCTAAATTGGCCCCATCATATTGTATGTGTAGTTGGGATTATTTTTTCCAATGGACATTACTTTACATTTATCCACATTAAATTTCATTTGCCATTTTGTTGCTCAATCACTTAGTTTTGTGAGATCTTTTTGAAGTTCTACACAGTCTGCTTTGGCCTTAACTATCTTGAGCAGTTTAATATAATCTGCAAACGTTGCCACCTCACTGTTTACCCCTTTCAGGCAAAAATACAGATCACAGCCAGTTGTGTTCAGGCACCTACTGCAGCCTGCAGTGCCTGGCCAGAGGGTAAGACCAAGGATTCAAGAAAGGGTGTTTAGGCTGACTCCTTTCAGTTCTAGGAACATGGAAGGATTCTGAGTACAAGCTGGGACAGGAAGTGCGGATAATATAAGAGCTACAGCATTTATATTGTTTGTTTAAAGACGCCTAAACTGCATGAAGGGAACATGGCCAGAGACCCTGTATGTTTGTTTTACTTTCTTTGGAACCTGTACATCAATCTGAAACCCTTGAGGGGGTTGTTTATTGCTTAACTTGGGCTCCCAGCTGGGTTCAGCAGTGCAGAATAAGACCATGAACCTATGACAGCAAGGAAACACCTAGAACAGTGGGATTTTTAACACCTTCCTTGGAAAGCAGTTGGGATCTGAAATAAAAACAGAGGCTAAGCCCCCAATCCAAAATGCTTGGTGGATAACTAATAGTATGGCAGTTAAACAGACCATACCCTTCCTAAGCATGGATTCTCCTTGTTCAGAGGGGCAGTGTACGAGTCAGTTATCTGCAGCAGCTTGGTCTTGGGCAATAGGCAAGGCTGATATGAAACTCCCTCATAAAATATAATGGTCGAGAAGCACAAATAAATACCCTGAGACAGTTGATAACTGCTCCAGCGTGGTACAGGGCTTAACAAAATAGCATGATTCATGTGTGAGACAGGGAAGCGTAGCACTGATTTACAGCCGGGGAAAAACAAGTTGTGCTGAAAAATTGGTGCTACCAGCCTCATCCATGAAAGAGCAGGAAGTTTTGTTTCAGAAACATTAGCAATGAACGTAGAGCTGAACGATCTCATTGCAGTGCTGAAAGACAGCACACGGCTGCGTGGCCCAGCACATTGATTTTTAAAGCTCTGCTGTGGTATTCAGAACATTTTCCTTATTTGGTGTTAAAACAACAAGAATATCTATGTACAAATGCCTGATTTGCACAGCAAACCTTTTCCTCCTGAACAGTTTTGTGTGGAGGCTTCTTTAACTCAGATCTGGAATAAAGAGAATAATCCTTCCTGTGGCTCTTCCCACAGTTGCTTTGCAGCTGAACCACATTTTAAGAAATAAAATAAAAGGGGATGGGGAAGGGGGGCGGGAAGTGTTGGAGAAGTGTGGGAATCCCAGGGGGCGGCGGTGTGGCTAGGGGTCAGGAGACGGGGAACAGGGGGAGTTGGATAGACGTGGGGTCCTGGGGGCCTGTCGGGGGCAGAGGTGTGGATAGGAGTCAGGGGGGCAGTCAGGGGACTGGGAGCAAGGGGGTTGGATAGGGGGTGAGGTTCTGGGGGTCGGTTAGGGGACAAGGAGCGGGGGGGGTTGGATGGGTTGGGTGTTCTGAGGGGGGCCATCAGGGGGCAGGAAGTGGGAGGGGGCAGATAGGGGGCTGGGGCCAGGCTGTTTGGGGAGGCACTCCATACAGTTTTGTCACCCCAATGTGGCCCTCGGGCCAAAAAGTTTGCCCATCCTTGCATTAGACCTTTCTCTGCTAGACTGAAGAGCCCATTATTAAATATTTGTTCCCCGTATAGCTACTTACAGTCTGTAATCAAATCACCTCTTAACCTTCTCTTTGTTAAGCTAAAGAGAATGAGCTCCTTGAGTTTATCACTACAGGGCATGTTTTCTAATCCTTTAATCATTCTCATGGCTCTTCTCTGAACCCTCTCCAATTTATCAACATCTTTCTTGAACTATGGACACCAGAACTGGACACAGGATTCCAGCAGCGGTCACACCAGTGCCAAATACACAGGTAAAATAAACACCATACTCCTACTCGAGAGTCCCATGTTTATGCAGCAGGTTCGTATTAGTCCTTTTGGCCACAGCGTCACACTGGGAGCTCATGTTCAGCGGATTATCCACCAACCCCCCAAATCTTTTTCAGAGTCCCTGTTTCTCAGGATAGAGTCCCTCATCCTATAAGTGTGGCCTGCATTCTTCATTCCTAGATGTAGACATTTGCACTAAGCCATATTAAAACACAGATTGCGTGCTCCCAGCTTACCAAACAACCCAGATAGCTCTGAATCTGTGACCTGTCCTCTTGATTATTTACCACTCCCGCAATGTGTGTGTCATCTGCAAACTTGATCAGTGATGATTTTATGGTTTCTTCTAGGGCATTAATAAAATGTTAAGTAGCCTAGGGCCAAGAAAGGATCCCAGCAGGACCCCACTAGGAACACCTGTTGAATGATGATTCCCCATTTACAATTACATTTTGAGAGCTATCAGCCAGCTTTTAATCCATTTAATGCGTGCCAGGTTAATTTTGTATCTTTCTAGTTTTTTAAATCAAAAAATCATGCAGTACCAAGTCAAAAGCCTTACAAAACTGCAAATATATTACATAGATCCTCTTTAGGGACAGATCCAGCTCCTGTTTAGGCCATGGGAGCCTTTCATTGATTCACTGGGAGTTGGACTGGGCCCATGATGTCGGTTTGACCGCAGTAGGGATGGAAGCGCTATATTTATCTACAGAGCAGGTACAGTCCAGGCAGTGGCAGTGCAAACTTCCCTCACACCACCCTGCCAATATGCATCAACCCTGACAGAGGGACTGCCTCTAAGAGCAACAGAGGAGTTTCATCCTTGCCCTCTACCATAGCTGCCAGAGAAGACTGAGGATTAGTGTCTATGGGGATGGTGTGTTTTGAGAGAAGGCTGCAGAGTTAGGCCAACACTGAATGCTTTTGAAAACCCCCACCTTCCATACCAGAGAAGACCAAGTGGGACATCTTGTCCTGCCATCCTGTCTGACAGTAGCCAGAACACAGCTGCTCCAGAGGTGCAAGAAACTCTGCAGGAGGCAACTCTGAGATAACCTGCCCCACAGAAAGTTTCCTCCAAACACCCAAAATAGCTGGAGGTTGGCTTATGGTCTGAAGCAGAAAGGTTTAGATCCCTTCCGATCTTTTGGTAGTAACAACTTTTCCAGTCTGGGTTCACACTGGTCATGGAGCAAGGAAAGTCTTATTACCAGCCCCCAGCGCCATCCAGTTCCCTCCGAAACGAGGCTTTGTAAAAAGCATTTCCCGAACGGTTCCTGCAGGAATGGAACAGGCCACCGGAAACCAAAATGGAGGGATGACATGGCAAATGGAGCAGGACCTCTGATTTTTCCAGCACACATGCACAGAGTGAGGCTCTTCAGAAAGATGCTTTGCTTGCCTGACGTGAGGCTGCGATGTTTGCGAGGGACTGAAGCATGAACTGCCCTGCTAACGACAGCAGGTGCCAACAACAAAGGGGAAGGAGGAAAAGCCTGATAATCAGGAGGAAAAGAAAAAGGCCAAGAGATAAACCTTCCTACAAAGGCAGCAGGAACGAATATTAATGGTTAACTTTCCCCCATTGTGGGTTACAAGGAAAAATGACATTTTAAAGGGAAAAGAAGTTTACCTTGTAAAGCAAATTTGTCATTCATTGTGCCAAATTATTGTTGTTATTCTATATCTGTAAGATAAAGGGAAAGCATGCAAATCATCCTCAAACTGCAGGCATAGCCCCCCCTTGCCTCCCACACCTCCCTGCCTGCATCCTCGTCCGCAAAAAGAGGGGATGCTAAACACAGCCCTTTGAACGACTGGAGGGTAATTGATCCTCTGACGTTGAGAAGCCCACAGAACTCCTAAGGGAGCACAGGTATAAAAGGAGAAGGTGCACCTCTCGCAGCAGCAGCAGAACTGCCACGGTAGTTGGGGAAATCTGAACGAGTCTTGGTCCCAGTCCGCTGGGACCCTGCATAGGTAAAGAACTAAGGAGGAAGGAACCCAGTCCAGTTCGCTGAAGCAACAAAAGCTGGCAAGAGAGCGAGAGAGAAAGAAGAAGTATTTTTAACAGGGAAAGGAAATCACGTAGCGAGCTGGGAAGATCCCATTTCCTCAGGGAACGGTAAGTTTGATCCTTTGCATGTGTGTTTTAACAAGATACCTGCTATTTGGAAACTGGGGGCAATTCAGTTACCCTAAAAACACAATCAGATTTGGCATTTATCAGCAGCCTCAGTACTAATCTCAAAGGGCTTTATGGATTAAGTTATAGACTGAAACAATTATGAATAACTGAAGTGTCTGATACATGTAAATATACAAAGTAATGTTATAGAACAGCCTTGCAAAACAGTCTGGAAATTTACGAGCCCAGGCACAGAATCTGGCACCCTGCTCTTACAACACTGATGATGAAAGCCACCACAAAACTAATATTTTACTCATCCATTAATAACTATTTAGTTGAGCCAAACAAAGGGATGAGTAGAAATTTGAAAGACTTACAGGTAATGCACAACCAATTACAGGATAGCAGAGGAAGCAATTGGAAATATCTTTGTACTTTTAATTGCAATATTGTACAGTATAAAAATCAACCTTACCAGACTGCAGGAGTAATTAAGGTTTCATTGCATCCCCTCAGCAGTATTTTTAGGACTGATTAGACACGTATCCCAGACACAGTAAGGAACAGAAGGAGTGATCGATCTAATCTATCCATCAGTATTTTCACAAACACTGCAACATTAAAATTGCATGAGGGGGTGTTGGGAAACTGTTGTGCTTTATCTTTTACAATCACATTAAATGCTTTTCATCTTAAAGGGAATTTACTAATCTCCCCCACCCTCCCCTCGCTAGAATGCAAAGCAAAGAAGTGAAATTAACCCTGTCATAATTAAGACGGGAACAAGATTTTCCAGGGCTGTCAACTTGGCCATGTTCAGAGAGCGAAACTTGAACATTCTTCTGTTCACCCTCTGAAATAACGGCCACACTTGAGGAAGGTGAGCAGGACTCCATGTTCAGTATCCCTTGTGTATGGGGTGGGAGAAAGACCAAAGGAGAAAGGACCAAGGGGACAGAAATGAAGGGATATGAGAGAGAGAGGGGAAAGAGAAGATAAGGAAGGTAAAAACAGATGAGAGAAAAGGAAAATCAAAAAAGCTTCTTTAAGAAACTAATGGGGTCAGAGGGGGTACAGAATAAAGATTTCAAAAGGGATGAAAACAGTCTGGAGGAACACCTGGCACTGAAAGAAGAGGAGCTGGGTATAGAATGAAAGTGGGGATAGTAGTGTGTGGTGGGGTGTCTTACCCTAGGAATACAAACGGGAAGGAAGGGAAAAGCAAAGGGCTATATTCTCCCCTGGTTGCACTTGTGCAACCCCACTGCCATTTCACTGCTATGCTCTCACAGTGGTTTTGTTGTTCATAATATAAAGAACAATGATTGGCACCCAAGTCTGGGACAGTGCCAACGCTCCTTTTGGAGTGTCTAGATCACCCTCATTTTCTTTATCAGAAGTTGATGGATATGATTTGGGATTCATGTTGGGGTATTGGGGTACCAGGGTGGGGGGCATGCTTCCTCCATTAAACAGCAGTGTAAACCTAAAACCAGAAGCCTTATAATTCTGTCCCACAGGAGTGTCACTGGTTCGGTTCCCTGGCATTCGGAGGGTCTTCATGGGGCTGACATGATGGTTTCTAAGAGGCAAGAATTCTTTGGGAGGTGGATTCAGTTCCCTCTTTTACCAACAATCAGCTCTGTTCTAAAGTTAGGTCAAGCTGCTTCACTTCCAAAAGAACAACCGATGGAAATAGTGCTGAAGGCTGACCCAGCCTGCAGGTTTGAAGCATAAACAGCTGTAAACTGGGAAACCAGAAAGCAGGCTGGGGAACTGTTTACAGTAATTAATAGTACAATCCTGCTCCCTGGGAGTCTGATTCTGCACTCACTGAAGTCAGTGGGGGCTTAACTTTGGGGCAAGGACTGTCTTTGTGTTCTGTGTTTATACAGCACCTGCCACAATGTGGTCTGGTTCATAAATGGGACTCCTAGACACTACAATAATAAATAAACAACATCAATAGCAGCGAGATCAGCTCCTATGCCTGGAACGCCTTCTTACTCATTTTGCCCCAAACAACTTTCCTCTCCTCCTTCAAATAGCAACTTAAAACACAATTTGTCCATGAGGAGCTTCAGTGATAACCCACCAAACACAAAACCCCTTTTGTGTCTATGAAAAACTCAAACACACCCAACGCTCCTGTGTGTCATCACCGTGTTGTCAGATTTCAATTTTGAGCACCTTGGCCTAGGGATCATATCTGTGCAGTGCCACGTGCACTGATGGCACTCCATCAATGATCAACAGCAGCAACAATGCCCAGTCCTTAGGGATAGACACACCTGCCTGTGCTGGTCAGATATGCAGCCCAGTCTTACAGACCTGGCTGGACTGGATCGTGTTCACACAACTCTCCACTGAATCTTTGAGGTTCACTCTCCTTCACCCACACAGTCCTTTGAATTATTTTGCATTTCCATTTCATCTCCCATCCCTGATCAAGTCCATGTGCAGTTAGATTCCTTCTCCTTCACTGTCAGGCTCCTGCTGCCTGTTTGATCCTTTCAGGCACTGGAAGAGAGGAAGGATGCTTTGTGCCTATGGCACAGGGCCAGAGATCTGGGTTCTATCCCCAAATTTGTAGCAGGTGATAAGCCATTTAGGGCTTGACAGTGGCATACAGGTGCTGCAGCCTGTTGTGGACAGCACAGAGGAGTACAGCCTGGCAGGAGCTCTGCAGGGAGTTGTGCCAGAGCTAGCACAATATGTCCCAGAGGGCAGGAGGAACTCTGCTGCTGCTCCACCCAGGGAAAGGGCACGGCATCCTCTCCTCCTGCGGATGCCAGTGCAGAGAAGGGAATAGCCCCATCTCATGTCCTGCTCCTCATTGGTCACTTTATCTCTTTCTACATTCAGCTCTGCACCTTCTTTCATTCCTCTGCTTGTAACAACTTTCCCCTCCCTGTGTGCCATGCACCCTTCTTGTTCTTCTTCAGATCCCTTTTCACTCACAACAGCTTCTTACCTGTATTTTCTTGCTGACAATCACTCCAGGCTCTCCTGTGTCTTGGGCGAATACCCTTCATATGAGATCTATCCCAGCGAGCCTAAAAGCTTTTTGAAGTCAGGACTGTGGCTTCTTATGCACTTTGCCAGCAGTTGTCTAAGTTCACAGCTCTAGAAATAAATATGTATTTGGATTTTTTTACTAAACTACAATAGAATAGCAACCATCTGGTATTCCGGAGCCCCAGGTAACAGATTAAACACACACACACACACACACACACACACACACACACGAATAAACAGACCTGTCAATTACCTCAGATCAAATAAAATAACCCAACATTGTAACTAAACTAATCAACTTCCCCCAAAGAATTCCCACCAATGCCACAACCCAGCTCTACCCGACCTGTGATTGACACCCAACTTAGTTTTTTTTTTTTTTTAAAGTCAAGCATTTTTCCATTTTGGAATATGGTTGTTGATAAATTTCCATCCAAATGATAACATTTTGCAAACATTTTTATGTTGATCACAAAGGTACTTTCCATCAGGAAAAAAGATTTAATGGAAATTTTCTTCCAGCTCTAATTTCCACAAATAAAAGCACAGAGTTCAGTTCACTTTCGTCCACAGACTTGGATCATTCCTGTTCCCAAGTATCCAGACAGCTGCTAAACAATCATGAAAGTGTTTGCCTATCTTGAAACATTCATAAGAATGGCCATACTGGGTCAGACCAAAGGTCCATCTAGCCCAGTATCCTGTCTTCCAACAGTGGCCAATACCAGGTGCCCCAGAGGGAATGAACAGAACAGGATCAAGTGATCCATCCCCTGTCGCCCATTCCCAGCTTCTGGCAAACAGGTTGGGACACCATCCCTGCCCATCCTGGCTAATAGCCATTGGTGGACCTATCCTTCATGAATTTATCTTCTTTTTTGAACTGTGTTATAGTCTTAGCCTTCACAACATTCTCTGGCAAGGAGTTCCACAGGTTGACTGTGTGTTGTATGAAAAAATACTCCCTTTTGTTTGTTTTAAACCTGCTGCCTATTAATTTCATTTGGTGGCCCCTAGTTCTTGTGGTATGAGAAGGAGTAAATAACACTTCCTTATTTACTTTCTCCACCAGTCATGATTTTATAGACTGCTATCATATACCCCCTTAGTCATCTCTTTTCCAAGCTGAAAAGTCCCAGTCTTATTAATCGCTCCTCATACGGCACGGTTCCATACCCCTAATCATTTTTATTGCCTTTTCTGAACCTTTTCCAATTCCAATATATCTTTTTTGAGATGGGGCAACCAAATCTGCACGTAGTATTCAAGATGTGGGCATACCATGGATTTACATAGGGGCAATATGATATTTTCTGTCTTATTATCTATCCCTTTCTTAATGATTCCCAACATTCTGTTCGCTTTTTTGACTGCTGCTGCACATTAACTGGATGTTTTCAGAGAACTGTCCACAATGACGCCAAGATCTCTTTCTTGAGTGGTAACAGCTAATTTAGACCCCATCAGTTTATATGTACAATTGGGATTATGTTTTCCAATGTGCATTACTTTGTATTTATCAACATTGAATTTCATCTGCCATTTTGTTGCCCAGTCACCCAGTTTCGAGAGATCCTTTTGTAGCTCTTCGCAGTCTGCCTGGGACTTAACTATCTTGAATAGTTTTGTATCATCTGCAAATTTTACCACCTCACTGTTTACCCCTTTTCCAGATCGTTTATGAATATGTTTAATAGGATTGGTCCAGTACAGATCCCTGGGGGACCCCACTATTTACCTCTCTCCATTCTGAAAACTGACCATTTATTTCTACCCTTTGTTTCCTATCTTTTAACCAATTACCAATCCATGAGAGAATCTCCCATCTTACCCTATGACTGGTTACTTTGCTTAAGAGCCTTTGGTGAGGGACCTTGTCAAAGGCTTTCTAAAAATCTAAACACACTATATCCACTGGATCCCCCTTGTCCACATGGACTGTTATCGCTTCAGAAACATGTTGTTACTTGTTTTCCCATGTCAGGTGTTGCAGCCATCCATTATGGGAGGAGAACCACTTACTATGCAACTAAGCTGACCAACTGCACAACACAAGTAGTGTGTCGGCAGAAGCTAAGCTAATGCTCTAGAACCCAGGACACCTTCCTAATTCCACCTGTGAACTTAGGTGAATCGCTCTGCTTACGAGGGCCTCCTTTATCCCCTCCCACTCTTTGTCTATTTACCTGTAAGCTCTTCCGGGCAGGGACTCTCTCTCTCTGTGGTTGTATAGGGCTTGATGCAAAGGAGTCCCAATCTCAGCTGGGGCCCCTAGGTGCTCCTGTAATCCAAACAGCTCCTCAGAGGGTGAAAGTTATTTGTGCAAACTATCAGGCAAATATTTACAAAGGGCAAATCCATTCAGACGAAAATCAGGATTGGGTTCACTAGCCTGAAAAAAGAGCTCGGCTCCTAACAAAGTAGTTCAAGCAGCTCTAATTAGGACAATCCCACACTCCCTGCTTCCGGTCTCTGACTCGTCTGGGTAAAACGTGCTCCAATAGTGGCGGGTGAGAGCAGAAAGGCCTAGTGAGAGGGGAGTATGTTCTGATCCCAGCTCACAGGCAGGGGGTTATGGATTCAAGGCCGGCGTTTGTATCACCATCAGCATTCCCTGGAAATGGGCTCTAGAGTCTGGCCATCAGTCACCAAAGGCAGGGAGTCAACTTGCTGGGACAGCGTTCCAGGCAGAGGCAGGCATTGGAAGGGGCTGCTTTGCTGAGATGGTGGCTGTTAATCAGGTATTTATATGATAATCATCATGCAATGCCAAGACACGGATATGCTGAGGCCGCTGTCTTGCAAGGGGAAGTACATGTTGGGTATTATAAATATAGGCCGCACAGGGTGATTTCTGTCCCATTGATGCTGATGACACAGGGATGCAGCGACTTGAGTCTGACTGAGAAAATGAAGATGTAGCTGAGAGTTCCCATGCACATTCAAGAAGCTTTCTCCCAACACATTGGCAGTGGTGTGCTCAGGGCCCCCAACTGTTGCTATGAGGTCAGGAGTCACTGTCTGTTACCATCACTGATTTGGATTTCTCTTGATTTCAGGTCACTCCAGAAGGGTGAAGGATGCTGCACAGGGCCATCTTCCTCCTGTTCCTCCATTTAGTCATGTGCTCCATCTCTTCTCCTCTCTATCCAGCTCTCAGGTAGGCTCCAAGCCCCTTTAGCTTCCTGCCTGCCCAAAGATCTCCCCCCATCGCTCTGACTTTACTCCTATTTTCTGGCCTGGGCATTTGGTGGATTTTCATACCAGGCTCACGACACTGCAGGCAGCATTTTGCAAGCTCCCCCCCCCCCCCCCGACAGCACATTCCATGCTGACTGGCAAAGCCCTCTGCATTTTCAGACTCCCCACCACCACAAGCTGTGGCAGCTCTTAATCCTGACTAGCAACATCCTCTGCTATTTCAGTCCAGGGCTCCAGGGTCCCCACGCAACTCTGACAGTTCACCTCATCCTGACCCGTGGCACCTGTGCTATTTCTGTCCTGATCTCTGCCCCTTGCCTGTAGCCCTGTCAGCTCACCTCAGTCCTGACCCACACCTCCTCCTGCTATTTCCACCTGGAGCGCCTCCCACACATAGCTCTGGCAGTACAAGTCAGTCGTGACCTGCAGCACCCCCTTCTATGCCGGGGCTGAAAGTCTCCTGTGCCGACCCCGCAGGTTGTGCCAAGTTGTCTTGTTTAAACATTACTTTACGCTTCAGTGAGAACAAGCTTTTCCTCCTCCTCATTCCTCTGGCTGGGATGAGAAAGCGGAGCCTGCAATGTCTCCATGAGCAGCTGTTTACATTGCTATTATGGGACCTACAGCTTTCGGATTCATCTGGGTCCTTGGCTCACTGAAGACGCATGGCACAATGTTGAGTCCAGTATTCACTCCATGCCCGCTCTTTGTTGATGGGCGTGAAGTCAGGTGGTGGTATAATGGATCACAATGGTTTGCTGTCATTGTGTCTGACAGCGTGAAGGGTTAAATATAAGGCCCCTGAGGAGAAAACTGGATGCAGTCGAAACAAGGGACAGCCAGGGTCAAACGGCCTAAACAGTTTTAAAGCAAAATATGTGAGTTCAGGGCTGGTGATAGCAGCCAGGACAGCAGCCCGGGAGCCCAAGCCCTCTGTTTACTCACAGAACAGGTACATGAACGACAGCACAACAAGCTTACCCACTCACTGCCACAGCAACAGACCTCAGGTCGACCTAGAGACCCCTCCTCTACTGGCAATAGCAGAGTTCAGGCTCCACTGAGCTGGCCAACTGGGGAACCAATGGTAGCACTAGACGCTTGCACGGTGCTCAGATACCACAGGGCTGGGTGCAGGATAAAAATCCAGATAGAGCCAGAGGACAATGCCTAGAATCACAAGCTCCTACATATGAGCCAAACTGCCATCAGATAGTAATTGTTTTTTGTTGCAACCACGCCATGCTGGATTTGAACTGGTGACCTAGAGTGGACTCTCTATATAGTTCATTAGCAGTTTCCCAAGTCATCAGGCAACATCTCTCTCTCACTCCCGACATTATTAAGGTTGCAAAGTCAAGCACTCAAAAGTTAGGAAGTGCCAGAATTCGGGTGGCCGGTGTAGCTTTAACTTGGCCCCACTGTGCGTATTCATTAAGTACTCACATACTATTTTTTCCATGTTGGATAGCAAGCCCATAGGAGGAAGCTAAGCCCCGATTCCTGTTCCCCTTCCCCCCAACTCGCAGCCTCTTCCACTTCTCCCACCCGGTTCCTTTGCCCAGCCAGTCCAAGTTCTCCCCCACACCAAACTCCTTGTCAGGGCCATCTCTCCTACCCCTATTGTGCCCCCACACTGGTTCCTAGTCCCAGTCAGAAGCCAGTGCCAGTCTTCCCCCATCCAGTCTCAGTCCCCACCGCCATGTTCTCCACTGGTTCCCAGTCTCAGTCTCCTTGCCTAGCTAGTCCATTTGTCTCCCCACTCCCTGTCCCAATCTACTCCTTCCCCCACCCCCCATCTGGCTTTTGTCCCTTCTGCATTTGGACAGCTTCTTCCTCTGTGCTGGCTGGATGCCAGCAGGGGATCACTGAAAGCACATGAGAGATGGACTTCCTGCTCTCAGTCCCAGTGCCTTGCCGCACCCCAGCCCACAGCACTTGGGAGCAGCCATTACTGGAAAGAGAAAGTCCTTCTGAGCCCCCCATAGCCCTGGGCTGAAACAGGCTCAGTGCTCGCATACACTTAAAATGCTACAGGGCACAGTTGCACCATTGCAGCTGCTCTGCTGCAGTGCTTCAGTGTAGACACTTCCTGCACCGAGGGAGGGATTCTCCCATCGGCGCAGGCAATCCGTCTCCCCGAGAGGTGGTAGCTAGGTTGATGAAGAGCTCTTCCATTAACCTAGCACTGCCTACACGGGGACTTAGGTCGGCTTAACTATCCACTCAGGAGGGTGGATTTTTCACACCTCTGGCCGATGTAGTTAAAGCAACCTAATTTTCTAGCGTAGAAAAAAGAAAGTCACTCTGCAGGGATGGCACATGGGCAGTCTGGTCATACACAGGAGCAGCGAGGGGCTGGAGCATGCTTAGTGAGGACAATCTTTGGAGATCTTAGCTGTTCAAATCAAAGATGTCTCTGATCATTTACAAACCCCTGTTTTTCAAATGCTTATAACTTGGCCAACTTTGAAGTGGATTTTTATGGGAAGGGCAAAAGACACATCCCTGACACAAAGGCCGCCCCCTTGCCAAATTTTGAGTACAGGCGTGCTAGGACATTTTAAAGAAAAGGGCTCACAAATTTTTTAACAGGGGGAAAACAACACATTTTGCCCTTGCCTCGTTCTTGGAAATAGCGGAGCTATTTTGGTTAAATTTTTCAAAACAATTCAGCCTGGCATGGAAAATTTCAGCCTAAATGGTTGACGTTTGGCAAAATTATAAACAGTTGAAAACAGGGTCTTATAATGGGAAGTGTTCAGCAACCGTAATAATATAGATGGTACAGCCAGCCCTGCCTTTAATTAAAAAGTTGTAAGTACAGGTTAACTGTCTTTGCTTCTTCTGTATTATTGTCCACTTGCATTGAAGTGAGAGGTATAGGAGCTTTGGTATTATATGGATTGAAGGGTTGTGTACTAAGGCCTCCTTGTAATTCACTTAAGTATCTCTCTACCACCCGTTGAAATCTTATTTTTGTAAGTTCACAAATCAGTAGATCTACAAAACTTTGGGCTTTGCTTTCAAGAACTGGCACAGTGAGAATTGGTTATGTTTTGCCTGGGTATGTTGGCATTTTGGAGAGGGGGACCTGTCTGTTGCTTTGTGCCTGGGACTTCTGGGTTTCTAATCTCAAAAGGTGCCTAGCATATTGGTATAAGTAGCATCTAGGCAGCTTCCAGAGCTGGAGGACAGCAGTACAAAGACAACCTGCGCTGTCTCCATGAGACAGGGAAGGGAAGAATAAGAGAGAAGACAAGCCACACCGAGGTGAACCCAGCAAGTGCTACTTAAGGACTGCTGGTGGTTGGCCCAGTGGAGAAGGCTATGGTGGTGGGGAGATGGTGTGGATTGCAGCTTGGTTGTGCTCAGAGCTGCTGGCTCATTCTTACAGGTACAATCCACTGCCCATCTCTAGCAAGACGGTGAGCTTTCAGCTACAGGACGGCAGTCCAGTGCAGAGCAACAATCTCTCTGTGGAGCAGCAGCAGCAGGAAGAGGAGGGTTTTCTAGCCAACCCTGCTGAAAAAAGGTAGGTGCCTCCCTCTCCAACCCCAACACACAAAGGGACCCTCAGTTAAGTTCTTCCTACACTGCAGCCCATGAGGGAAACAGCAAGAGGATTTGAGGGCACTTGTGGATATTTTGCAAAAATTACAGAGAGGATTGAGTTCTAGGGCTGGTTGAAGTTTTTCCAGCCCAACTGTTTTTCGATGCAAAATTGGGTTTTTGATTAAAGTAAAGTTTTTTGCAAAAATTGTCTGCTTTCTATAGAAGATATTAAAAACCCAAACATTTGAAAATTGAAAAGCTTTCACCTGAAAATGAAACAAATTCAATTTGGAAAGGCAGCGAAGGTGCCTCCTGGGAGTTGTAGTAGGGCTGCCTCTTGGTCTCATTCTCTACTGGACTACATACTTCCCCCCGTGATGCACTGTGGTGACTCGGCAAGAAAGGAGATCATGGTGCATTATGGGAGATTTAGCTCAGCCACCAAGACCTGCCCACAGAAAAGAAAGGGGGCATAATGCACCTAAACGACAACTCCCACGAGGCACTGCAGCACCATTTCCATAGAAATGTGCAGGGTCCGTTTTTTTTTTTTTTTGGTCAGGGAGGGGGCGGTTTTGGCCAAGGTTTTTCGGGTTTTGATATTTTGCCAAAAAGTCAAACCATTTTCCAGCCACCTTCACTGATTTCTCTAGTGGTTTAACACACAGGAATCAAATTGAAAACAGCCATGCTCTGTGGCTACCTAGGTCAGGAACAGAAGAATTTTAAGTCCAATTGAAGCCATAGAGGGAAGGGTAGGTAGGAAGCATGTAATTACTCACACAGGAATTTGATCAAGATGCTTGGAATTATCACCCCAACTCTTGCCAGAAGTCCTACAGCATCTTTACTGAACTGATGTGGGCAACAGCATAGTAGCGCGTACCCGCTGACAGACTTCGCCAGCGACACAGAGCCCCCTCCTAGCACACTGCCCCATGGGTCCAGCGCTAATGCAGGGAGTGGAGTGTCACGATGCCATTGACATATCTGAAAGTGCCGGTATCTTCCTTAAAAGGTCTCCCCGACCTGGTGCTGACTGGACAAAACCCTGCTCTAGCAGATGAAGTCTGTGCTCATAGCCAGACAACATGTAGTCAGCAGGCTGTGTATTCTCTCCACTATTATAAGGCTGTCTCCCTACACCTGAGGAAGGGGTTAGCTCTTCCAACCTTTCCAAAGAGACAGTTAGCAAAATGAGGCACAAGATCAATACTCCTTTCCCGCCCTATTTCATGCAAGCAGCAATTCTGCAGAGCTCTAGGCATCTCTGGGAATTGTGGCAGCATCTGTTCACCTCAAAAACATTCACGAATTCATCCTCACAGCACCCCCATCAGGCAGGGAGGGATAGTTAGTCCTGTTTAAGCAGGTGAGGGAACTGAGGCAGACAAGAGCAATGGGGTTGGGCTGGTGGATTCATCCCTGTCCTTGTACAGAGCCAGAATGTGGGGACTGAGTGGGGGGCTTGCACTTCCCCTCTCCTAGGACTTCTGGGACCCAGATCCCAGTGAACATTAGAGCACCTCTGAGGCCGTCTCTGAAACTCATGTCCCAGCTGCATTCACCCCGAACGGTCCCATGGTGTTGCTGGGGAATAGCCAGGGCATAGGAACATCCTAGCCACCTTCCCGCTCACCGCTGCAGCCCAGCTGTCTCCCTCCCCCCCCCCAACTCACAAACCTTTGGGCCCTTTACAACATTTTTTTTATTTAAGTGTGAAGCCACTTTTCCCCAGCAGTTCTTGATTGGTTGGTAGATTTTTCCTGCTGTTTCCATGTCAGGACTTTTTAAAAAAACAATTGCTTTTCTGGTGGAGAATAAAACGTGTCAGACAGATTCTGGGATGGTTGTTTGCCCCTTAATCAGCTCCTCTCTCAGCACTATCAGATGTGAATGGTTTTTTGGTATTTTTAAAGTTGATTTCTTACCAAAAGGGTGTATTATCCAGGGTGTTTTATGCATCTAGCGTCTGTCTCTTATCTTTAGGATGCAGCGTCATGCTGATGCCATATTCACTGACCACTACCGGAAAGTCTTGGGGCAGATCTCTGCCCGGAAGATCTTACAAACCATTATAGGCAAACGGCTGGGGTAAGACCACTTTTCCTATTCTTCTGCTGTTACTGGGTTGGGGCTTTGCGTGTTACACCAGGCAATTTCTTCCATGCACATAGCTAAAGTAGAGAACTTTCCGTCCAGTCCGATGGAATCATCATCTCTCCTAGTCACATGCATTTCTCACTGTTTCACCAGTACAAGAAAAAGCCTCTTCTTCTGTGGTCTAAGAGAACCCCGCATCCCCATATTTTTTTAATGATCCTGACAATCACAGTTTTCTTTGGTCATTGTATTTAATCCTTTCCTTCCCAACCTATTAGCTTCAGGGTTATTCTTAATCTCCACCACCTTAGGAACCGGCTAGAACCTTTGCGGGAAGCATTAACTGCTATCAGTCACTGAAAGAAAAGCTTCACCCTGCACCACAGCAGGGGGGCGGGGGGAAATCAAAATCTACATTGCTGCTCCCTCAGCTTTGACCACATACACTAGTGTTGCTAAACAAGACAGGAGACACTTGTCAACTGCAGCCTATCATTGGTCTCCCACTTGACCAACCTCATTCCTACTCAAGAGACTGTGAGCAATGAAGTCAGTTATTTCATCTTAGCAATGGATGGGCAAATGATTTGCAAATCAAAAGTAAGATCCTGCAACAACCTGATCCATGAGGCAATAGCTAAGCCACCCCTGCAAGTGCAGCAGATTCCCCATCTTTCCAGCAAGAGATGGAGAAACTGTTTGTAAAGCCCCTGTTTGCAGAGAGCCATTCTAGCAGCCCATTCTTGTTCTTTGCATAACCCAACCAGCGAACGCAGTCCAGGGGAAGGGGAGCATGAATTTTTGACCAGACGCCAGTCTGAGAGCATCTTGATGGACAGCCGCTACCACCAGCAGATGGTATTAAAGAATTTCTTGGGAGCCATATTGCAGAATCAAAGGTAGGTAGAAAGCTTTACCTTGAAATGTAGGGCCCTATAATCTTAACCCCATTTCAGTCAATAGGACTTTTGCTGTACACTTCAATGGGAGCAGGAATAGGTCCTTATTCTTATCGGACTTATGTGGGTGAAAAATGGCAGTAGGTAATATTTCTCCAGTACATTCTGGTCAGAATAAAGCTTCTACTGTGCATCAAAGCCTGCATCTTTCTTTCCAACGGTAAGCATGGCACAGCTGCATTGGGGGAAACTTGGATGGAGCCTCCCCTCCACAGCATGGCTGATACTAGCCCTGTACCTCATCAACTTGTCTCTTCCCCCAACTCTATTTTCTGAGAGCAATCACAACAGTGAGTTGTTTTCCACACAGAATGATGTCACAACCTACCCAGCTCTCTCCTCTTATTCAGGCCTCAGGATGTCAACAGTGATCATGTCAAGGACTTTGCCAACACCCTGGCCAAGCTCATGAAACTGTAAATCTCTCTCCCTTCTCCCCACCGTGCTCTGGTGAGTAGCAATCCCTAGCTGCTGAGCTTTGTGCAACATCCTGCTTTTGCAGTGCTTGTAGTGGGAAAAGAAAGGCTTAAGACCAGCGTTACTGTGCAGAGAGATGATTAAGCTTCCATCTCAGCACAGACAGCGCCCACTGAAGTCAATGAGTGGCGAGTTCTTATGTACCTAAACATGGATTTAGAGCCTAACTTTAGTTTGAAAATGGTGGCCATGAAGACTGGTACTGTTTAAAAGAAATGCTTCAAAATCAAATGCTTCCATGAATGGAAAGCTACAGCAAACTTGGGCACCTTCCTTACCCACCTCACTTCCCTTCGATTCTTTCGCCTGACTTACTTACGTCTGACTCTTGCAGCCAAGTGATGACAGCTCTGGCGAGCCTGTGGTTGACGTAACACACATCTGTTGTCTTTATTCACAAACAGCTGCCTCATAATTTTCTTTTTTTTCCCTTCTGCACAGGAGTCATTCAGAGATCATGGACCCAGCTGTAGAGTAAACAACCCACAGCAGCAAAGACAAGATCCTGGACATGAACAGCTGTAATTCATGCATATCCTTCTTGGAACCTAGAGACATTTCATAAAGGAATAAGATTGTTTTAAAAGTTACTATGCCCAGGTTAATTTGAATCAGTCCTTAAATTAATTCCTCCCTACTTCCCTTCAGGTGTACTTGATCAAACAGATCTCTCACTGTTATCTGCTACTGGTCAGTTCTCTGTATAGGGCTACTCAATCCTGTGCACACCTAGCCCAGGGCCGAGATTTGATTATCTACAATCTCAACATAAAATTTTTGAATCAAGTGCTACTGAAAGAAATCTGCTGAGTTACTGCTCTGTCTGAAAGTTTGTTTACTCAATAAACATGCAGGCTACTAAAAACTACCTTTTGGTATCCATGTCGATTTAGTCTATACATTGATATGACTCCTCCCCCTTATGGATACATGTCCAATGGAGATCAGATCAAGCATTACATGATTGCACACTAATGAACGATTTATTTCTTCTTTAGAAAACACACACAATGTACTGGAAACATCGCTGGCCTAAGACATGGCTATTTTGTCCTGTCCAGAACTCTTGCAGCAGGGTTGAACTCACCAGCAAGTCCAGCCTGGGGTTGGTATGATGTAAATGAGACTCCTGTGCATCATCAGAGGGGAATTTCAGATTATACTGGTCAATATATTTCAACTTTCATGATGGAGCATTATTAATTCTTCTCCTAACTCCATTGCAACATTATTTCACATACAGGGTGAGGCTGTGTAACTCCTCACTGCCCTTTAGAAGGGAAAATATTTTAGTATGTTCCCCCAGTGCCACAAAACCCCTCTCTCCAGTGTCCAAAAGGCAGAGGAAGAACATTATTCTGCTCCTACTTTTGCATCACGATGCTCCTAGTACTGCACATGTAACAGTTATGCCTTCAGATGACATGTAAATAATTCCGGGTGGGTTTTGCTTTTCCATCATCGCAGCAGAAATAAAAGTTGTTCTGAATAAACCTGTCCAACAGCAGGTCAAGATTCCTCCTTGTCTCTTGAGATGTGCCCGTTTCTTGGTCATGAGCTACATTTTCTGTCCAACGCACATTAAGGACCCAATGTTTGCCAACTGGTTTTGCAGCTGTGCTAGACTATTAAAAGAGCACATAGCGGTATCTGCACTTGTCAACTCCAGGCATAGGTATAATTTTGCACATACATGAGTGGAGTTGAGGTCTTTGTAGATGTCTCTCATTATATTAGACCTTTGCCTAGGTCAAACTTGGGGTGGAGAATTTTTTCTTTGCTTTTCTTCATGGCCCTCTGCTCAGTGCAGTTCATGAGGTGACACATATGAAAATGGGGTCCAGCCTACATGCCTGAAAGCGAATATTTATATCATACATTGTGGACACTAAGGGCTAAATATCTGAAACGGGCTTCAACTTGGCCTCTAGTTTTGTGGGAACAATTTTTCCTTTCCAACTAATAACAGCCACATTCCACTGTGGGCATTAATGGCAGACAGCTAAATTCTCACTCGCATGTGCAATCAAGGAGGTAGGAAGCTAAAGCCTATCAATCATCTGCTCCCAGTTATGGATGTAACTGATGGTGGATGCAAATTTAGATGTCCCGTCTAAAAATGTAGCCTGAGGACCACCCTGATCCTTGGTGTAGCTCCATGTAAGTCAGCTGAGGTGTTTCTACAGAGTGTTTCTCCAGGCATCCCATCCTGCCCTGTGCTAGCTGGGTGACTCCTGGACCCCTGGCCCTACAGCTGCAGTGATAGGCAACAGCTGCAAGAAGGGAAACGGAAGAATCCAGGCAGAGTACTAACAAACAAACATTTTCAAAACAGAGAAAAGGGGGTCTCTCAAAATAAAAAAAAGACAAAAAACAAAAAAAGGGTTCAGTTTATTCCTATGCTAGGAGTTGCTGATTGAAGAGGAAGGACGGGGGTAAAACTCCACCCAAAACAGTTTTCCAATTCCATGTTTTCACAAAAAAAGGTTGAGATAATGGAGCTAAAAGATCACAGTGGTAAGTCACTATGGGGGTGTGGATTGCTAGGGCATCACTCAAGTATTTAAACTTTTCTAACCTTTGGCCTTCCAGTACACCCAGGCTGGGCTCCAATGGCCCAGGAATATAAAGCCAGCGTGGCTTAGTGTTTAACCAGTCCTTTAGACTTCAAAACAAATCCATCACATGTCGCTATGTCACAGCCAGCAAGCCCATTGCAGACTCTTGACATTCATTTAATTTATCAGAAAAACGCTCTCTCTCTCTCTCTCTCTCTCTCACACACACACACACACACACACACACACACACACACACACACACACACACACAAATTAACCTACTATAAAAAGACACAAAACAAAGAAATCA